CTTTGAGGCCTGCGGCCACCGAACATGCACATGGAGAGCACGATGCGATGCATGGCCGAAAATTTTGTAGCGAGCTGAGGATCCCGGCGCTCGCGCACACAGCTTGCTAGCACAGCCCACATCCAGCTATTCTCAGGATTCTCAATGCTGAAGAAACACCCCTTGCGAACGGCCAGGGCGAAGAGCTCCACAGTGAAGCGAGCCAACTCGTTTGCAGCCTGGACCTTTGCCTGCTCAGCATCGGAGAGATTTGGGACACCTAACACATGATCGGCACTGCGCAATGGGCGCGGCAGCGAGGCACCTTGACCGCGGAGCGCTCTCGGCACAGGACGCTCTCTGGCCCTGCTCCAGGTTCCGCAAGGCAGGGAAACATGAACCGCAAGCAACGATGACCGTTGAAGGCGCTCCAGCAAGAGCCGCTGCGATTCCGAAGCGGTCAGGTCGAGGGCCCAAGTCCAAGTGTCGACTGAGGGCTTATGGCGATTAAAAGGGGCGTCGACAGCCACATGTTGAACCCCTAGAGCCCGAAAGGCGGAAGACAGCCGCCCACAGCCACTGAAGACTTCACAGAACACTGGGCGAGCCGGCGGGGCCTCCGGAGGGAAGGCTTGCGCTGCACACGGCACAACTGCTGGAGACTTCTGCTGCGAGGCGGCCGGCTCGACCAAGGGCGGCTCAGGAAGGACCACCGCCGGCGGCTCGGTCTCCTGAGGCAAATTTGCAACGGGGCTGGCCACAGAAGGAAAGACAAAGCCAAGCGAAAGCAAGAGGGCACGAGAATCCGGCTCAAGTTTGTCTGTTAAATCAGGCGTGAATGCCACGAGCACCGTGCGATCACCCTCCCAAGGCATCGTCTTATGCCATGAGCCCCTGGCATCAAACTCGACTGGGCCGGCACTAACATCGAGAAGACGGCCTGCAACTGGCTGTCCATCAATGATTTGCTCATCTGGGCCGCCGTCTGACTGCACCCAGACTTGGCCCCCAGTAAACGAAGAAAGGGGAAGTACGCAGTTTGTTGACCCTGGCATGTTGTTGCGGTCACGGTGGGCTTCTGAAGTCAAATTATGCAAAATCACTACGGATGTGAACGAGAAGCCAGGTTTGGCCTCTCTCACGCACTGGCACAAAAGCTTGGTTAGGTTAGGGAAAATTCGGGCATTTTGACGAATGCCCGGTACATGCGCATGAACGAAAGCCCCCGAGCTGAAGGATACACTCCTCGCCTGAGGCGCCATCGTAGGGCGCAACTGGTCTGTCGGCAGCTGACTAATCAAAGGCCGC